GAAGCAGACACCATCACGGGGCTGGACACACGAGCGATCTACCTGAGGAACTGTGTGGGAAGGACAAAGGAGGTGGGGGCAAGCAGAGTGAGCCTTTCCCCAACAATGCACATTTGACATGCAGGAAAGTGGAGGCGAGGAAGGATTGCACAGGAAGAGCTCAGCACAGTTGTGAGGATCCTTCAGCCAGGCTGATGGGGTGTGTCTGAGCCAGTTATTGGAATCTCACGTGAGGCAGGAGGAGCCTGCCTGGCCTGGCTCTAGTACCCCACTGTGGGTATTCAGTCACTGGCTGGGAGCGGCCTGAGGGAGCCACGGCTTCATGTGAACACTGTGGAGTGGCCGGAGGCACAGGTGACTCAGCCGTGCTCCCTGCAGCAGGGTCTAGTGAAGGCAGATCTGAGCCAGGCACTTCTATGGCCTCCACACCAATTATGTCTGTTACGCCAATAAACGTGAACTCACCTATTTTGTTTAAAATTTATTTTTTTTTTTATATTTGAGAGAGAGAAAGAGACAGAGTGCGAGCAGGGGAGGGGCAGAGAGACGGAGACAGAATCTGAAGCAGGCTCCAGGCCCTGAGCTGTAAGCACAGAGCCCAATGTGGGGCTCGAACACCCAAGCAGTGAGATCATGACCTGAGCCGAAGTCGGATGCTTAACTGACTGAGCCACTCAGGTGCCCCTCATGTATTTTGTTGGAAAGCGTTCTCACATTGGGCCATAAAATAAAACCCAGCTAGATGCTATATGAAAGATCCCTTAAAACACAGGGATTCAAAGGTTACAAAGGATAAAAACACGGTAGGCAAATGCTAACAAAAAGACGGTCTAGTTATAGCTTGTAATATTATTTGGTGGAATTCAAGGCAAATAAAGCACATAAAAATGAAGAAGGATATAATACCTGAAATATTAAGTCTAGGTAATAAAAGTAAAAATCTATGAAAATAAAACTTAATAGTTTGGGAACCTGAATTTGTCCTTCAGTGTAATGATGTTATACTTTGCTAAAGGGATCTTCCATTCTTAGTATTTAAATACATTATTTCACGATGATGTAAAAGAAGATTCTTGATTCCCAGACCAGGTGAAACTCCCCGTTTAATCCTCATTTTATACCATATCTCTTTTAACATGGCATATATCACAAGTTGCAATTTCATACTTGTTTGTGTGTTTTACTTCATTAATGCCTGACTCTCCCTCTAAAATGCCGCCTGACCCAGAACCTAGGAGAAAGTAGACTCTTGTTGGATGAATTGCACATTTCTTCTGAGGATGAGAGAAAATATATATAAAGCTGTTATAATATTTTGTACTGAGAGAAAGGAACGAGGAAATCCATTTTTCACTCAGTACTTACAATGGGCTTTTCCAGAGCCCAATGCATGCATTGAAAAATACGTGATGTCAGAGTGGTTCTAGCAAATGAAAAATAAATATCAACTTGTTCCGGAGGCTCCTGGGTGGCTCAGTCGGTTAAGCATCCGATTTCAGCTCAGGTCATGATCTCACAGTTTGTGAGTTCAAGCCCCACACTGGGCTCTTTGCTGTCAGCACAGAGCCTGCTTTGGATCCTCTGTCCCCCTCCCTCTCTGTCTCTCTCTGTCTCTCTGAAAAATAAATCTTAAAAAAATCCACTTGTTCTGTCCTTTTTGCCTTTCAGTAACTGTCCGTTGTAAAGGGTCTGGTAAAGGCTCAGCAAGTCAAGGAGGTTGGCTGATCTGTTCCATAGACATGGAAGGTGTGGCGGATGTGCTGAGAAATAGCTCTGGCCCAAACTTTACGACTCTTACCTGAGCCTTCCAATGACTCAGATATGTGACTTCTGACACACTGGCCTAATATTGCTCAAAACAAACAGATCTCTTCTTTGGAAGGGGATCTCTCCCTTCCCCAGTATGACCTCATTTGTGATTAATCTGAAAGCATTCCTTTCTGGGGCAGGTAGGTGGCAAGTGAAAGATGGCATGATTTCCCCAGGCCACCTGGTGAGTCAGTTACACAACAAGGAACAAAGCCCAGTTTTACTGATGGCTGAGACCAAGAGGCTCAGCCCTACCTCATGACACCTCCTGTTCAGTAAAATGACTAATTAAACAGTCAATTATGTGCTCTGGGTCTTGCTCTACAAGCACCAGACAAGTTTCAGTCCACGTTCTCCAGGAGCATGCAATCTACAGGAAGAGAAAAATGAAAGAGGCCAAGAGATGGAGAAAATATTTACATAGGTGAGTGAGTAAGTTCTGGCATTTAAGGCACAACATAGTGACTGTAGTTAATTATACCGTACTGTATACTTGAAATTTGCTAAGAGAGTAGATCTAAAATGTTCTTGCCACATACACAAAAATATGTAACTATGTGGGTGCATTAACCTTATCGTGGAAATCATTTTATAATGTACGCATATATCAAATCATCATGTTTTACCCTTTAAACTTACTCCAATGTTACTTGTTGACTATATCTCAATTAAGCTGTGGGAGGGGGGAGGACAGACAATTGTAAGCATGCCTCTCTGTATATACTACTTGCCAGTGTAGAGCAAAAGGAGGAATATGTGAGTTTGGGGCTCAATTTTTAACCAGTATTTTCTAGGGTGAGGGATTTCAAAGCCTCAATTTTTAACCTTCTATTTGAGCTTCTTCTGCCTCTTCTATTTTGGCACTTCATTCATTGCTGAGTATCCAGAGCCTCTGCAAGAAGTTTTAAATAAAAGAATACATAGGGGAGCCCGGGTGGCTCAGTCAGTTAAGCGTCTGACTTTGGCTCAGGTCATGATATCATGGTTCTTGAATTGGAGCCCCACGTCTGACTCTGTGCTGACAGCTCAGAGCCTGGAGCCTGCTTCAGATCCTGTGTCTCCCTTTCTCTCTGCCCCTCCCTACCCCCCCCCCCTTAAAAATAAATAAACATAAAAAAAAGCATACACGAATGGACCCAGGTTATTAAGAAAGGGTAGAGGTGTGCCAGAGTGGCTCAGTCAGTTAAGCGTCCAACTTCGGCTAAGATCATGATCTCACAGTTTGTGAATTAGAGCCCCGCATCGGGCTCTGTGCTGACAGCTCAGAGCCTGAAGCCTGCTTTGGATTCTGTCTCCCTCTCTCTCTGCCCCTCTCCTGGTCTCTCTCTCTCTCTCTCTCTCTCTCTCTCAAAAATAAGCATTAAAAAAAAAAAAAGAAAGAAAGAAAGAAAGGGCAGAGATGCCAGGATGAAGTCTGTTCTGAGGCTCAGAATGAGGGAAGAGCAATTCCTGGTTATGTAAGTATAGATTGACTGAGAATAAGGGCCCAGGGCAAATGGTTCTTAAATTTCTACTGGAGGAAGACACAGCAGGTGTTTCCCAAGGTACTCCTGTCTCCTTTTGGCCAGTCGCAAGTCAATAGTCTTCTTCTATGCCCTCCCACGAAGAATGGTCATCCATAGGACCTTGCCCCCTCTACTGAATAGCTAAAGGACCATCTCCAACTTGCACCTAGGGACTGTTTGTTGCTCCACTTCACCTCCTTCTGGACTTTTCTCTCTCAGCCAAGTAGGATGTAGGAGAGTGTGCCCTAATAGTTTTAAATCGTTTTTGTAATTAAAACAAAACAAAACAAAACAAAACAAAACACAGTTTTCTCAAACATCATATTGTTGGGTCTGCATGCCAATGTTGACCTGAGCTTTCATTTGATTGAGATTCATGATCACGGCCTTATACAATGTTGTAAAAGTAACACTTTATTTCAGTACTCAAGGACCCCAAAGCCCTCCTTCCTTCCTAACTCCTCTTTCAAGTTGCATCTTGATCTTTAGTTTATTTCCAACTTCCTGTTCCCTTTCAAGCAGAAGATTTAAGCATTCTTGCCTACCTTCATTTTCTGATATCAGAACTCGCAACCTCCCTCCTGCTTTGCATGCTACTGATACGGCTCTTGCCCTTTCTTTTTCCCTTTTATTTAAGCTTTTCTTTGAAAATAATTTTAAACTTACAGAAAAGCTATAAGAACTTTTTAAAAATACACAGAACACCAATAATCCTTTACATGGACTCACCTACTGCTAACATTTTGCTACAAATGCTTTATCATTTACTGTCTCTCTTTGCCTCTAATTTTTTTTTTCTGAGCCATTTGAGAATAAGTTGGCCATTTAGTTATAGATAAACACTTTAGTTGTATTTCCTAAGAATTCAGATTTTCTCCTACAAAACCACTATATAGTTATCAACCTCAATTAATGTAACGCCAATACCATAATTTTATCTGATTTAGTGTTCATAGCCCAATTTTGTCAATTGACCCAATAATTTCTTGTATAGCAATTTTTTTCTTCCATGGCAGGATCCAGTCTAAGACCAGATAATTGCACTTATTCATCATCCTACCTCTTCAGTCTCCTTTAATCTAGAGCATTTCCACAGTCTTTCTTTGTCATTTATGACATTGATGTTTTTTAAGAATAGAGGCCTTTTTTATTTTTAATTTTTAAAACTTTTTTTCTTGAAAAAAAATTTTTTTTTTGGTGCCATAAGCCCCCTTCCCTGGCAGCCTGGCCACAGCTACATCACACCCAGCTCCTACAGGTCCTTTAAAAAAAAAAAAAAAAGTATTCCTCATTTTGTGTTTGTCTGGTGTTTCCCCCATAATTAGGTTCAGGTTAATGCATTCCCCACTGGAATACGACAGCAAGAGGCACATGTGTCCATCTGCCCCTCAATGGTAATGTTTAGTTTGACAACCTAGTCAAGGTGTTTTTCCATTTCTCCATTGCACAGTTACTACTTTCCCCTTACTCATTAGCAGTCTGTGGGAGGAAGTTTAAGGAAATACAGATGTGCTCCTTCTCAAAATAACCACCTCCTCAGTTTAATTCTTGCATAACCAATTTATTATGATGGCTGCCAAATGATGAGTTTCAACCCCGGCGTTCACTCCACATTTACCAGCTGGCATTCAGCACTATACCTTAAGAGTCCTCCTCTCTCTTCCATTTATTTGTTTCTTTGCTTGTTTATCTTGTTTCTTTGCTTGTTTATCCTGTTTCTTTGCTTGTTACAGAATCGTGGATCCGCTGTTTCCCTAAAGGTCTATAGTTCATTACTGTCCTTAATTATTTTATGCTCAAATTATCCCAGATCTGGCCAGCAGAAGCCCCTTCAGGCTGGCTTTCTAGGTCCTTGTGACATGTTTTTAAACACTCGCTTACACTCTGCCACGACAAGATGTTCCAGCTTCATCATTTGCTTTTCTCCACCTCATCCCCAACCTTTCTCCTAAAGCCATTCTTAGAGCTTACTCAGCAGGATGAATGCTAGGTTGCTTGAGGAACAAAGAAGGATAGGGTCCAAGAAGGCACCGTGGTTCAACTGTTCCAGATGCTACTGAAAGGGTCAGGGCAAGGCACATCATGTTCTCCACTGTTGTCCCAGGGAGGTGCTCTAGACAAGGAAAGAGGTGTTTGGACCATGCAGATGCAGTTACTGAGACCTCTACTAGGTGCTGGGCACTGTGAGGGATACATGGATTACAAAACACCATTCCAAGGAAGTGGGCCAGCAAGATAGACACACATGTATGTAAATATCCATTATGCACCCCTGAAAGTGTTTTCGTTTTGCTGTCAATGAGACATACACAAGGTTTTGGGGAGTTCTGGGATGAAAGAGTATTAGGGCTGGGAGAGTTGGAGGAGGCTTCATTGGGGTGACTTTTGGATTAGACCTTGAAGGAGAGTAAGACTTGGAAAAATGGTTTTCCTGCTGAAGAAGAAGTCACTACTTATGTGTGCTGAATAACGTATGACTTTGCAACTTCATTCAACTAGATCCAGCCTCCTGCTGGGTGCTGTAAAGCACAGAAGGAACTCCAGTGAATGTAGGGCAGCACTCTTGTTTGACGCCCAGCTAAGGAAAGAATTGTCATGCCATCTAATTTTTATTTTCAGACACAGATGAAACATGTCCTTCATTCACCAAACTGAGCTTTCACAGTGCAGTGGTCGGTACAGGACTAAATGTGAAGTTGATGCTCTACACCAGAAAAAACCTGACCTGTGCACAAGTCATCAACTCCACAATTTTTGGGAACTTGAATGTGACCAAGAAAACCACCTTTATTGTCCATGGATTCCGACCTACAGGCTCCCCTCCAGTTTGGATGGAGGACTTGGTACAGAGTTTGCTCTCCGTAGAAGACATGAATGTGATTGTTGTTGATTGGAATCGAGGAGCTACAACTGTGATATACAACCATGCCTTTAGTAAGACCAGAAAAGTAGCAGAAGTCTTGAAGAAATTTATCGACCGGGTGTTGGTAAGAGAGCATTCTCTGACATCATTCAGGGGCAAATTGAAGCTGGCCCATTATCTGGAGATTTAAAACCAAGAGATAGCTGCAGTGAACAGAGGGACTATTTTAAAAACCTGAATAAGCCCCAGGGAAGCTAGACGGAACGCCTAGAGGGAAGGCCCATAGATATGGTTGTGCAAGTTGTGCACTGCACATCTAAGGGAGCACAGCTGTCATTGTACACGTCACAGATCTATATATTTATTATGATACTGTCCCACCAATAACAGTAAAGTGTCCTCAGGAAAGGACATCTTTTCCTAATTCACATAAAGGTGTCTTACGGGTCAGAGAGATTTTTGTCTAGGGGTTTTCTGGCTTCACTGTAGAGAGATTCCTCATCTTCTATAACTATTCCTTTTCCTAGAAAAGCCTAAGATTTACTGACCAGATTATCCAAAAACCAAAACCGATGAACATGGTCTGAAGAGAGATTTGTGTGTGTGTATGATTTATATTTTTAGAAGACTCACAAAGATTAAATAGATCTTGAATTTTATTTAGTGATCTATCTCATGAATTGCCCCCTTTATAAAAAACAACAACAAAAAAGTTACTTTATATCAGGACTATTTCAGAGAGAATTAGGTCAGGTGGGCACTGTGGCCAGAGGCAGCAGAAGTTTCACAAAGCTTTCCACTTAAGCCGCAGCCTTAAAGTGAATATTAAAATGACTCACAACAGGCTGTCCCAGCAGACTGTGGTCAGTGTCGTCCCCCACTGCCACCCCTTCCTTTCCTTCCTTCTCTCTCCATGGAGAATTCATTAACTGAGCCAGCCTGAAGATAAAGGAGTTTATCAAAATGTTTCTTTGCCCTTCTCCTCAACTGGGAGGGATTTAAAGATGTCTCAGCTTGGTTTCTAGCAGAAGCATGAATAGAGACACCATGGCATAAAGGTTAAGGCACAGGCGTGGAGTTGAACAGACTGGTTTGACTCCTGCTCTGCCCCTCCCCAATTGCCTGATATTGGGCAGGTTACTTTGACTCTGGGCCTCAGTTTCCTCATCTGTATAACCAAAGAAGAATGTTTACTTTGTTGTTGTGACATTTAAATGAGCTCATAGATATAAGTTGCTTAGAAATGTTTCTCCAAAGAAGTGTTTTCAAAGTCAAGTTTAGGCAATTTCTCCAAATGTTGTCAACTCCATGGCCCCTCACAATTTATAACGATGGACCTCTTAAAATTCCAGGTAGAAGGAGCTTCTCTTGACAACATTTATATGATTGGAGTAAGTCTAGGAGCCCACATATCCGGGTTTGTTGGAAAGATGTACAATGGGCAGCTGGGAAGAATTACAGGTAATGTTTCCTGCGAATGGACGTGGGGTAGTTGGCCTGGGCAGGATGTTCACTGGGAGATCATGATGCAGACAATTCAAGTCTTTGGGTTCAAAGCCAGCTCTTCCAATTACTTAACCTCTCTGAGTGTGTGTGTGTCCTTTTGTGCAAAGGTGAGGCCATGATAATACTGACCTCAGGTTATTATTTAATAAAATATGTGCAAAACACAGTAAGTTGTATATGCCATAGAAAAGGTTGGTGGTAACTTTATTTCTCTTATGGTTAGGAATAACAGCTATGTCCCATGGGGATTTGATCTGTGCTGTCCAAACAGCGATCTTCCTTTCATTTAATCTAATATAGCCTGAACTACATACCTAATATGTTTCCATCCCCAGGCACAGCTGGAATCTCATGATAGAAAAATGAGACGGGAATTTTGATAGAGGGGTTTACTCTCTGAATATCAGCTTTCAGGACAAAGCTGAATGAAAACTCAGAAACAGCAGGTGAAATCCCAAACAAAGGTTCCTTTGCTGGGTTCTCTTGCCTACTGCTCCAGTAACTTTCCACAGCTACAGAGGATGGGATGAGGGAGGCTTTCTGTTTCAGAGACTCAAGTCTTCTCCCCCCATTGATACCCTTCCCAGAATCCATTCTTACACACAGAGAACTATTTTCAATCTAGGAAATCCAGAGGGTAGTAGACAATGAGGAAGAAGAGATTCAAACCAACTATACTTGTGAGGTAAACTTTTAGGGCCATTGTTTCTAAATGTGCTTCCTGGTACCCCTGGGCAAGTCATTCTCTCTCTCTCTCTGTCACATGCGCGTGTGCACACACACACACACACACACACACACACACACACACACACACGCGTGCGCACGCATCATGGGTGTCTCCTTTAGCCCTGCTACTTGAGGTCACATTGTTCTGTTTTTCCTGGATTTTTTTCTCTCACTTTCACACCAGGGGCCAAGGCCTCCCTCATCTTATTTACCTGCTTTCCTCGGGAGGCAAAGCGCTTTTTTACATTTTTCACATTATTATTATTTTTATGTTTTAGAATGCAACATGTCCTTTTAAAAAATTTCATTTCCCTTATGGGATCAAAGGACAGGTAGCTTGAATCTGCTTGTGTCCCTTATCTGTTGGGAACTCTTCTTCTGGTGGGTGGGACTCTTCCTGAGAGTATGTTAAGAACCTGAACTGCTCTCCAAAAGAAAAAAAAAAAAAAAAAAAAAAAAAAAAAAAAAAGTCCTGATTTTTAGTGTCTGCTGATCTCCATGGTCTGAATACTCTCACCACTGCTGATTTCAAGCTACCAGTCTGACATTAATAACCACAAAGTTTGGGAAGAGATGAGCAAAATCTGCCCTCCAGTCCTGGGCCTGGAAGGCTCCAGCCCACCACTACTTCATTCAGTCTCACCCCCAACTTGGTTCCCAGCAAACCTGCTCCCATGACTATTGTGAATGTGAGTGCAGTGTAACCTGCTTTCTGACCGTGGAAATTCCCCAAGCCAGTCTGCCTTCCACTCTGGGCCCACGTGGCCCGGACTCAGCTAATGGTCCACAGCTCAATTTTCTGTGGCCCCTGACTGTCCCATGTCCTTCAGATTCCTCATCCTCTCTGATCCCCAAAGTCAAATTTCAGCTGTTCTCCAGAGCGGCTTCAGGGGTGAAGTGTTCCCCTTCTCTGCTCACCTTCCACCACCTTTTCTGACTGGGTTCACCAGATTGTAGAGTGGGAACTTGGTCTGTTGCCTAAAGATGAAATTCATAGCCAACTCCCGCAATTGGATGGTTCTGCTTTTAATTATCTGGCTTGTAATGGCGGCTTTTTTCTTCCATTTCTCTTTCTTCTGACATTTTGTTTTTTCTCTCCAGGCACATCTCCTGGTTTCTCAGTAACTTCTCAGTTTTTCTTTTTTTTTTTTTT